GATTAAGCCTCCAAACCCACCCTTGTGTTCTCTGTGACAGAATAATCCCATAAAGCTATTTACTGTGAACACAATGCACACAGTCATCACATCCCATTTTGTCACAATATTAGTCTACCCATCTATGTCGATTCACATTTCTATTTGGTAGAATTAGTCCTTTGGCACTCATTATGGCCTTTAGGAAACTCCTTGCATTGAGTCAGTGGGAAAAGAGGAATTATCACTACCCAAATATGGGTCATTAGAGATATCTATTAATTTAGAGAAACAATTTTTCTGAAAAAGACATTCCAGAAGGGAAGAATCATGAGAGGTAGGAACGTGATATTATCCCAACTTTACAGGTGGGGAAATTGAAGCAGAGAGGAATTTAAATAATTTACTAATGTCCTAGTGAGTCAGCAGCAGAACATTAAGGAATCCAGAAGTCCTGATTCCCTACCTTGTTCTGACTGCCCAAACATTAAATAATATAGGATTATTTTTCCATGTTTCTATAATTTAACAAACAAAGTTATATGCAGTGACAGTTAAGTTTGCGTCAGGACACACCACATCCACCGAAAACCTTAAAAGCATGTAAATAAAGCAGTGATTCTCAAACTTTTTTACTGGTGACCCCTTTCACATAGCAAGCCTCTGATTGTGACTCCCCATCAATGAACATGCTTTTTTTATATATTTAACACCATTATAAATGCTGGAGGCAAAGCTGGGTTTGGGGTGGAGGTTGACAGTTCGCGACCTCCCCCATGTAAGAACCTTGCAACCCCCTGAGGAGTCCCGACCCCCCGTTTGAGAACCCTTGAAATAAAGGAAAAGATGTGCATTCCTCTCAAACTTCATGTTGCATACACCACTAACGCTACTATGCCAGTGCTCCATGAGGCTTTTGCTTCTATTGCCAACAGATACTCAAAAGCAAATATTCATCCAACGTTTTACTCTAGTGCAAAACCTTAATGGTAACCTCGGCAGTGTTAAGGCAAAATAACTTGCCAGTTGTGTGTGTCTCTCTGAATCAGCACATGAGGAACAACAATGTAGCAGGTAATGACTGCCCATTCTGGAAGATGATGTTTGCAAGATCTGTTTCCCATAATATATTTAAGATAATGTTTAGGTCAAACTGTTGGCTCAGAAAACTTGCTGACATATTTGAAGCTCAGTGTGAAGCCCAGGCTGTGCTAGTAAGGATATTCCCGTTCAATAATATGTGTGGAGAGTACATTTTTCCCAGAACTACTGAATGGTATCCTTTTAGCTTAGAAGATGTCCATAGCTGTATCAAAGGTAGCTGCAATTCCTACTACAGGCTGGAAAAGGTTTAATCTCATTATTGGCCACATTCATCCCCAGTGTAACTCCACTGATCTCAGTGTAATTACACCAGGGGGAATTTGTCATAAAAAGGGGGCTTGCCAATCTGGAGAAGAGTATTCTGCCAGAGCAAGGTTTGTTGAGACCAAAATAGAGTGGAATTCATCATGCCAGCAGCCTGCTTCCAAAGATTATGGGTGCTCTGCATGAAGCTAGTTGATAATGACATTCATTGCATATTCAGACAACATTTGCTCAAATCCTTTCACCTCCAATAAAGCCCCAGCATCCAGATTTGAAATATAACTGCTAAATATCTGAATATGAAGCCAGTGCAATTCAGTGAATAAATTATATTTTCCAACAGAAGGCTTGTTTTGCTTCATTCCAGAGGAGAGCTCCAGGAGGAATTCTGCCTCTGGAATTCAGCCTCCTGGCACTTCAAAGCATGTGGGATGGTGCAGCATACTCCTCTTGTGTATAGGCTACCTCTGCTGACTAGTACTAAGGGGGAATGAGCAATGGCACCACCTTCTCCTCATCAACTTTGGGGGCTCACACCCTAGCAGGTGGGTGGAGGTAACTATCCCTGTGCTTGGGCTCCAGTTATACCCATTATTTTGCATGAGTATAAAGGGGATATCATTGTGACCTCTTCCTTCACCTCTCTGCACATGAGAATCATCTGGGTACATTGTGGCCAAGGATAGGAGCTGGAGCCCAGATTCACAAAATAATTTAGGATTCTAATTTCCATTGATTGCCATGGGATTTAGGAGCCTGGCAACCTACTTAAATCTAGTCTTGTTTTTCCCTGTTCCAGTAAAAGTCCACAAAAATAGTACTATATCCTTTTGGAGGTAGGGGAAGGTATTCTGGTATCTTCAAGTATACTATGGTTTATTGAGTAGTTTAATTAGGTATGTAGGGGTCACGGAAGAATGGGACTATATTTTCAGTATTGGTGTTTATTTATGTAGAGTATATTTGTATCCACATGTATGTTTAAAATAATGTTAAATCAAGTGTTTTATTTCAAATTGGAAGTTAAAATGAGAGGTGTGGTTCCAGCATGGAATGTATGGGGAGCTGTTCATTGTGACTCTCAACTGGTAATCTAGCTGGGCTGCTAAATCAGTCAATAAACAATACTTAGAAGGTGCCAAAAGATTTAAAAGTACTATGTAAGTGCAAAGTAGTATTATTAAAAACTTAGTTCATCCATTGATTACAGAATATCCCCATGAGGAAAGTGAAATATTCTTCTACATTCTTGGATCCATAAACTCCAGTCCATTCAGAACCATTCAGCTAGGATAATTTCTCACTGTCCTCCATATTTCCACCTTCACTGGTTGCTGATACATTTAAATATCAGATTTTGAATGTTATGTTTAATATCTTAGGCATTTCCAATCTGTCTTATTAAAGGCCCTTAATACTGGTGTATACCCCAACCAGATTGTTGTGTTCCTTTGATGATTTATTATTGCCCCCTCCCTCTTCTTTTATTTGCATTCTCTCAATATCGTGCATTTGTTCACCTCACCCCTCGCTAGAGGAATTTTCTATTAAGGGACATTCTTATTTTAAATCTAAGTTGCATACTCACCTTTTTGACAACCTGGTTTTAGCCTTTTTAAAAAAAACTAAAATATTTTAAAGGCTGATGTTTTGTGTTGGGACGCATAGACTCTGCTCCTGAAGACTTGTGCATGTGCTTAAAGTTAAGCATGTGTGTATTTGTAAGCCCTGAGTATTTCCAATGAAGTCATCTGTTTGTGTAAGTACGGATAACAGGCTCGGCTCTATACTTGCAATTTCCCTTATATATATATTAAAACTAATATGTGCAGTAAATATAAATGGTCAGTCAACGGTACAACTAGTTTCTTCAGCTGTTATCCCCTCTCTATTACATGAAGGTCTGGACACACTGAGTAGATTTATAATGTGAGGTATGGGTCAGAATTAGTTTTCTTGTAAGAGTAGTCATAC